CAAATTGTATACTGTATGTTCCCACTTGTTTAAAAAGTCCATATGTTGTATTTACATATATGTTTTCAAATACATAGAAGTTTTCTGAAGGATGTTTTTGTACATTTATAAAGATGCATATGAGAGACTTTGACCCACTCAACTTTTGGACCCACCTAAGCTGCTTCTAGTGGCTTTTCCATACAAACGACTTTTCTTGGCTCATGCTTTGGACTTTCCTAAAATCTCTCAAAGTTTCGCAAACCCCAAACAAGCTGCATCTGACAGCATGCCCCATATCTCTTGTCGAGTAACCCCAAGCCTGACACTAGGAGCAGCCAGCCTTGATTTGTAGCTTAGCCTCTCCCAGGCACCTCCAAGTCTAGCACAGGTGGAAGACATCTGTAGATTGCTTTGCAGCTCATGCCAGGTGGCCCTGGGCAGGGCACAGGGCAGCAGTTAAACTTGGCCAGTGGAAAGGCCCCTCTCAGAAGGCAGCAAGACCCACAAGCTGGATCCACTGGAGCACCACCAAGGTGCCTCCACAGACAACACATCCAAAGGACAGACCGGGCAGGCACCAGAGTCCTGCTAAAAAGAATCCTGCTCTGTAGGGTCAGCCCTAAACAATAGCTCTGCCACTGTAGTCACAGCCAGTCCTCACGACCAATCAGCCTGGGGGGCAGTCCCTCCTATTGATGTGCAAACATCAAACAAAGCTCAACTACAACAGGAGAGCACACACAACCCATACAAGGGAAACTCCAGCAGCACCTGGCTCAGGTGACCGTGGAGACTGTGCCACTGGGCCCCCCTCAACACCTACTACTACATAAAGCTACTCTACTAAGACTGAGAGACATAGCAACCTAACCTAATACATAGAAACAAGCACAGAGAGGCAGCCAAAATGAGGAGAAAAAGAAACATGTCCCAAATGAAAGAACAAAGCTCCAGAAGAACTAAACAAAATGGAGACCAGCAATCTACCAGATGCAGAATTCAAAACACTGGTTATAAGGATGTTCAATGACCTCAGCAAGAGCTTCAACAAAGAGATAGGAAACTAAAAAATGGAGATAGAAAACATAAAAAAGAACCAGTCAGAAATGAAGAATACAATAACTGAAATAAAGAATAAATTTGAGGGCATCAACAGTATATTAGATGAAGCAGAGGTTCAAATTGGCAATTTAGAAGATACTGTAGCAGAAAACAGAACAGCAAAAAGAAAAAAGAATTTTTAAAAATTAGAATAGTTTAAGGGGCCTCTGGAACAGCAAGAAACATAACAACATTTGCATCAGTGAGGTACTAGAAGGAGAAGAGAGAGAGTAAGGAATTGAAAACCTATTTGAAGAAATAATGACGGAAAACTTCCTTAACCTAGTGAAGAAAAGAGACATACAAGCCCAGGAAGCTCAGAGAATCTCAATCAAGATGAACCCAAAAAGGCCCACACCAAGACACATCATAATTAAAATGTCAAAGTTTAAAAACAAAGAGAGAATCTTAAAAGCAGCAAGAGAAAACCAGTTTAATACAAGGGAGTTCCTATAAGACTGTCAGTGACTTCTCAACAGAAACTTTGCAAGCCAGAAGGAATTGGCATAAAATATTCAAAGTGATGAAAAACAAGGACTTAAATCAAGATTACTCTACCCAGCAAAGCTATCTTTTAGAATTAAAGGACTGATAAAGGACTTCTCAGACAAGAAAAAGCTAAAGGAGTTCATCAACACCAAACCTGTATTACAAGAAATGTTAAAGGGACTTTTTTTACAAAGAAGAAGAAGAAAGAAAAAAGCTCAAAAATGTGAATAATAAGATGACAATAACTACATATCAACAATTACTTTAAATGTAAATGGATTAAATGCTCTAATCAAAAGACATAGGGGGGCTGAATGGATAAGAAAACAAGACCCTTACATAGACTGCCTACAAAAGACTCACTTCAGATGAAACACACACACAGAGACTGAAAGTAAAGGGATGGAAAAGATATTTCACAAAAATAGAAACAAATAAAAAAGCTGGAGTAACAATATTTACACTAGACAAAGTATAGACTTTAAAACAAAGGCTATAACAAGAGACAAAGGATTCAGTATTCCCATTTCTGGATATTTATTCAAAGAAATCCAAAACATTAATTTGAAGGGACATGTACATCCATACGTGCATTGCAGCATTATTTACAATAGCCAAAATACTGAGGCAACCCGGGTGTCCATCAGTGAATGAATAGATAAAGAAGAGATGGTACATATATACAATGGAATAGTACTCGGCCACGAAAAAAAACGAAATCTCGACATCTGCAACAACATAGATGGATCTAGAGGGTATTGTGCTCAGTGGAATAAGTCAGGTAGAGAAAGACAGATGCCATATGATTTCACTTACATATGGAATCTAAAAAACAAAATAAACAAAGAACAAAACAGAGACAAACTTACAGATACAGAGAACATTTTGAGGGGTGCCAGATGGGAGGGGGGTTGGGTACAGTTGGTAAAGGGGAAGGTATTAAAAAGTACAAATTGGTAGTTACAAAATAGTCATGAGGATGTAAAAGTATAGTATAATGAATATAGTCAATAATATTGTGATAACTGTGTATGATGTCAGATGGGTATTAGATTTATTGGGGTGATCACTTTGTAAGTTATATAAATGTCTAATCACTATGTCATACACCTGAAATTAATATACTATTGCATGTGAACTATAATTTTTAAAAATAAAAAAATTAAAAATAAATAAAAGATTGAAAGACTAATATGTAAAGAGGAAAAAAGTAAAATGCTTTCTTCAGTATTATTGGCATTTTCATTAAAGAAATCAGTGGTTTTCATAAGTGTTGCCCTCGTCTGAACTACCTGAACTTTTGAGAGTAATCATTTATTGGCAGTAACATGGCACTAAAATGTATTTTCAGATTGAAGTATCTTATTTGAAAATAAATTCTTTTAACTTTTTATCCCTATATCTTTTCTTAAAACACACACACCACACAAAAAGATGTGTATGCCTAATAATTTCATTTTCCCTCTTGTTTTGACCTTTATTATTATGCAATCAATGTTGAATGTTGTACATAATGATAGTGGTATTATTATATAAACGAACAAAAAGTCTCTGGATCTCAACCATGTTAAAACAATTTTCATAGAAGGAGAAAATACACCACAATGTGACACAGATTATCCATAATTGTGGAATTATACATGATTTTTTTTTCTGGTCTCTAAACTTTTATGTATTTTCAAAGTTTCTACCATGAACATGAATTACTTCGTTATCAGCATAAAACATGTCTCTTAAAAATAGTTTATTTAAAAATAGAACTAAGGCTTCGGAGCATTGTTGAAACTGTACAAAAGACAGGATATGAAAAAAATATATGGACAAAAGATTTTTGTAACTGTTTTGTAGACATAATTTGTGGGCATCAAATTTTCTGCCCATCCCAGAAATGTTTCATATGTGCTTGAAATTTCTTTACTCAAGTCAATTATTTTGTAAAGATTTTTTGTTGTTGTTGTTTTTCCATATGAACTTTGCTAAAATTGGAAGGATAACTAACCCGCCAGGATCCAGGGAATACATTACAGCTGAAGTTCTTGAATTTGTGCATTGGCACTATCTGATGAGCTTGTTAAAATGAAAACGGCTGGGCTCATCCCAAGAGTTTCAGATCCAGTGTGTCCAGGGCGGACTTCCATAAATTTGCATTAAGTAACAAGTTCCCAAGGTGATGGTGATGCTGCTATTTCAGTAACTACACTTTGAGTACACCTGCCTAAAGCATATTACTTTATCACCAGGAGCAGAGAGCGCATAGTTGAATAAGGGCCAAGAGGTCACCATGGAAGATCTAGGACTGAAGAGGAAATTCCTAGAGTGTCAGTGTCCTGCCAGACAGGTGGACATCTGAGGGCTGAGGAGGTGGGGAGGCAAAACAGTAACTGAATCAGCCGGTTTGTTGAGTAAGGATGGGAACGTCACCTGCATCATGACCCTACCCAGGACTGGGTTTGAGCATTGCTGCAGATGGATATTTAGTCTTTTCACTGTAAATTGGCATCCACTGTAGGGAGAAGAGATCCTTACTTACACTTCTTTAACTTCAAAATGGAAATGGCTGGTGCTTATGAGGGGTTTCAATTATTGGAACCTGAGGGGAATCGTTACCAGAAATGCATAGAATAAAAATAAGTGCAAAACCAAAAAAGATTATAAGATGAAGCAGCAAGGCAAAGAAGGAAGACTTCTTTATCTTCGTGTTACTTGACTTCACCTGGAACTTAAAAATGGGCCCCGGTCCCATCTCACAAACTTCCCGCGGGTTCTCTGCCACGCTTGGCCCCGCCAGTAGGTGGTGCGGTTCTAGCGCTTTATTCCGAACGTGGGCTGAGCGAATGAAAACCGAGGGTGACTCAGGGACATCGCTCACCGCCGCGCTCCACCCCTCGCGCTGCCGGATAACAATACTGTCAGGCTACATCAACACTGCCCCTGGCTTGGCCAGAAGTACCCAAGCCCGGATTCCTTTCTGGTGACTGGGTTTGGGAGAACTTGCTTGGAGTACTAATCAGGCTTAATTAAACACGTATTCCGCTGAGAAACAAGGTCTCACTTGGGAAAACAGGGTCCAAGCACTCCCATTTGCTAAAACCTCGCCCACCATCTTTTGCTGAAGGAAGACAAAAAGGGGAGAAATTAGTTTAAAGCGTGAAAAAACACACTTTTGGTACGACTCCAGAAATCGTCTCCCAGACCGGATTCCAGAAGTTCAGCTGCCCCCTGGTCTGGGAGTCCCCGACCCCACGCCGGGCCCCCAGGGGCCTCAGGGCGGAGAAGTGCAGAGCTGGAAAACCAGGAGGTCGTTGTGGCAAAGCCGGGTCTGGCCCCGCACCTGTCCCGCTTCAGAACCGGCCCTGGGCGCGCCGCGGGCGGTACCTCCTCCTCGGAGGAGGAGGAGGAGCCGACGCCGCCGTCCTTCCTGACCTGCGCGCGCAGCCTGTCGCCGCTGGCGCCTGCTCCCTCTGTCTGCGAGTGCCGGGTCCTGAGAGAGCTGGTGACGCCGAGCTGAGCCGAGCCGAGCGCGACCGAGCGAGCCGGTCCTCCGTGGAGATTCGCCTCCCCGCGCCGCGGCAGCATGGGTGCGCGCGGCCCGGCCCTGGGCCTCCTCCTGTTGCTGCTGTGCCCGGCGCAGGTGAGTGGCAGGCGGTGACCCGGGTGGGCTGTGGGAGATGGGGCGAGTCCAGGAGGGCTGCGGGCCGTGCAGCGGATCCGGTACCCCAGCCCTCCGAGGGGGCGCAGGTCCAGCCGATCCCGGGGGAGTTGGTCTAACGATGGAATCTCGGAGGGCTCCCCGCTTCTCCGATTTCTTTCTCCGGCCATGCACTCTTCCCTCTGATCTAGAAGAGGATGGCAACTGGGAGCTACTGGTTTGGTTTGTTTTGAGCTCATTTCAGCTGTGGTCGTCTAATTTCTGGGTTTAGGTTGTGGAATCAGAGGGAGGGAGGAAAGTGGGTAGAGAGAGAGAGCGATATCATTTAACTTGACTTTTTTACCTTAATTCTGTCCCATACATATGAACTGTTTATACATTTGTTTAGAGAGCCTACTGCTTTATTTACCTAATTCTCATTTAAAGATGAAGGTGTAAGGGGAGGCAAAGAAAGGAAACAGTCAAACACCAAACTGGAACAGGCCTAGTACTTTATGTAAGTCAGCTTGGTCTTCTGAAGAGTGCAAGTTGCTTCTTTTTAACCCCCTTTTACATCTTGGGAAACGGAGGCCCACCCCCCGGGTAACTGACTTGTCGTGGCCTTACTCCCTGGATCAGCTTTTCTTGATTTAGTAGCTTTGGGCATGAGCATCTCACTGCTATTCGCGTGTTTACAGTCTTTTTGAAAACTGGGCGTGGGGCTGGGAGGGATGTCTAAAGATACAGTGCTGAATAAACCAGATCAAGATGACAGAGTGACTTCTGGAAATCCTGTGCCCTTGTACCTATTTATAGATAGGTGTGTCAGCAATGAGAGAAAGGCAGACTTAGGGTTTTCCTCAGACTAGAAAACTTCCAGAAAACCTCTCCTTAAACTTTTTTGTAGTTCACAGAAGTGGATAGGGGATGCTGACCCAGTGTGAGCCCAAGAGCCAAGAGAGAGTTGTGGCTTCCTTCTTCCTTATGTGTATGTGGGGTATTCCCAGCAGTGTGGGCTTGGGAAGAAACAAACATCTGTTACCTGGTTGGGAGCAGAGGCAGAGGAAAGCAGGTTTCAGGGAGGCGGTTTAGAATGGGCTCAGCGGGTAGACCGCTCACTAGCTCTGTGGCTTTTGGTCACATTGCCCTGTCAAGCCTCAGTTTTTCTGAAGATATACAATACCTCATAGGATATGAGAGTTATTAAGTAACATGATATATGGAGAGATTTCATCGCTGTAGTAAAAACTCAGGAAATAGTAGCAATTATGTGCCTTAAATAAAATACAACTGTTCTGTTTCCATAGAGTTTTAAGTCAGGCTCTCATTGGCAGACTACTAAGTAGCTTTCACTTATCTCTGAAATCCTTTTACCTGGAGGTAGTATACGGGCTAATGGCCAGTGAGTGCCTCTCCTCCCAGGTCTTTTTGGGTTGTCTCTTGCAGACCTCCTGGAAGCCATGGACAGGTCTATAAAGCCTAACTGGAAAACTATTATGTTACAAATTAATTCCCTCAAGCCTGCAGAGGCTTTCAGAACACCTGAACAGATCAGGGAGGGGTGGGGATGGGGAGCTGGAGAAGGTATTTGCTTTTAGAGTTCTTATCAGTGATAGCAGCTCATCTGGGTTCAATTTGAGCCTGAATTACAAACTAACTGTCCTCTTTAAGGTCTAAAATACATTTTGGAGTGATTTTTGCTTTTCTTAATTTAAAGTTTTTCAGATGATGAAATATTACTAGACTGCATGGTTTTTAAAAAAAACTTTGTGGTGATCCAAATAATGTGTGCAGTTTTGAAAAATAGTATATATCCCTCCTGACTAATTTTTATAAGCTTTTTCTTATGGAACTTGAAACATAGGCCCGGGTAGAAATTAAGCCATTAAAATGGGTTAATCTTTTGGCCTGAGAGCATTAAAGAATAACCATCTGAAAAGGAAGAGAATATGGGTAATCTTTCTCAGTCTCTCCTACTCCTTAATGCTGTGATCAGCTCTTCTATAACATAAGTAATCAAGGGAAAACAGATTTTTTATTTTAGCGAGTGGGCAGAAAGAAACCCACTTGCTGAATAGATGTTTGTATTCCGTCAGTGTTTGTTATATTACCCAGAACAAAGACTCCCTCTGGTTATGAAGACAATATGATCTCTCTTTCCTGGGTAACCCTTCCCCACCCTCCACTTCTCCTAAAAGGGGTGTTTTTCATTGTGTTTTAAGGATGACACATTACCTATTGCAGAAGCCTGGATCAGACCATCTCTAATCAGATCTCAGGTGCCCCTTTCACCCCTTTTATCCACAGCTCTGTGAAGGGCATCAGCTCTCCAGCCAAATAAACTACTTGCTGTCAAAACCCTGCCCATCTTCCAAGGCCCAGTTCAAATGCTCCATCACCCATGACTTTTGTTATCCTGTTCCCCCAACTAGAATGCCTTCCCTCTGAAGTTCTAAATCTTTGTTTAAACTTCTACAGCAGCATTTACCGCCTGGCAAAAGACTGAGGAGTCTCAGTCTCTTCTGTAAAAATGAATTAACAGCTATACCTACTTTCTCAGGGTACTTGTGGAAAGAGAGAAATATCGTTAGAATTGAACTACTAGATAGCAGGCTCCTTAAGAACAAGACTGTATTTTACCATCTCTTTTACCAGGACTCTTTTCTGAATTACCAAATCATTGGGCTTTAATGGGTTCAGGTGAGAGGGTAAGATAGAGGAGGGATTCAGAAGCTGAGAATTCAGTAGAGATCAGAACTGGATTTGCAGTTGACCAACTATAGCCCAACAGGTTTTTCTTTGCTTGGACTATGCCTCTTATTTTGTCATGGGAATATGTGCTTTGGCAAGAAAACTTAAAAAAAAAAAAAAAAAAAAACCCTCTCTGATACAAATGTGCTGTTGAGGAATTTGAGAGAAAAGCTTCAAAATTTGTTCATCTTATTGCTGCCTCTTAGACCATGGAGGAACTCAAATTATTGTCATTCACTAATTTCATAAATATCAAGTGGTTGCTATGCACACAGTCTAGAATGCAAAAGTAGATCAAAACAATAACCTATATAGAAAGTGGTCTACAAACTGTAAAGTGCTATGTATATGTTGGTATATCTATTTATATACTACTTATATACTATAAATTATATAGTATTTATGTACTATTTAAACTATGTACTTTTATATGTTTATAAACATATATATGTTTCTGTCCCTGTCTTATAATTGATAGGAAGAAGGGGGAATATATTATTTAAATTACAATGCGAAGTAAGCTCTAATAAAGATAAGGACAAAATATTATGGGGAGTCCATTTTGAGCTGACCTTTGGAGGGTGAATTAATGCTTCCCAGGTGGACAAGAGGAAAACTGGAGGAAATAGAAAGTTACCTAATTATTACTAAAAACCTGTATTCTTGAAAAGGGTGAATATTATCTTTTGTAAATGGTCTCAATAAAGCTAGTTAAAGATGACATTCTAGTTTACAAGAAACTAAGGAAAAACGAATCACCTAATTTTTGCCTAGAACTTCCGTGCTGGGACACATCTGATCTTGTTTTAATCTCGCAGAACACCCTTTTCAATGTTCACCCCAAGTTGGCTGTAAAACAGTTCCAGAGATTTCCATCAATGAACATCAGACCAGACCAGCCTCCACACCAAAGGTCCTCTCATATTTATTTTGTCTGCCTGCCTGACTCCAAAGGAAACAGCAAACAGCTTACTCTCTGGACAGGATTTCTCTGTGCCACTCCCTCCACCCTATCCTGCGTTGTCCAGACTGGCCAGGCCAGCCCCTCTGCTACCTGCATAGGCTTCTCTTCCTTTACTGGAGCTTGAGCTGGTTGTGTCTTCAGCTTCTGTCATGAACTTTACCTGTCTAGGACCTCAGCAGAGGTGAGGAGGCCAGCCCTGCCCTCTACCTGCGGTAGGATGGCTGAGCACAGGCCTGAAGTTGAGGACAGCTAGTTGTACTGAGAAAGTGCATCATGATCTGACAGCTGCTTAGAGATGTACTTAAAAAGATGTAAATGGTACTCATTTCTATAAGTAGACAAGTTTGTATAGAAAGGACAGACACTTGTATAGGATTATAGTGGATGAGACAGCTCATCTGTGGCTCATTGTCAAAATCTGAGGATACATCTTATGTACAAACTGAGCTGGACTTTGAACAATGCAGCAGCTGAGGGGTGGGGATGAGGGATAGGACAGAGAATACCTAACTTGGCACTAAAAATCTCGATTCTCATTACTGGTTTTGTCACTGATGAGCTATGTGACCTCGGGGAATCTTCTCAGAGCCTTAATTTCTATAAAATACTGCCGTACTACTCCATAGGGTGCCTGAGAAATAAACGAGGCAACGAGGGAGAAATCACTTATCTTTGTGCCTGGCACGTGATTGACATTCAGTGAACATTTAAATACAAGTTAGCTAACACTTCAAGATTTTCTAAAGGCAGCCTGGAGTTTAAGATTCTGCTGCTGAAATTCAGAGCTTCTCCATATGATAAGATGTGTTTTCAATGCAGCTCCCTACTAGAGTCTGTTTAGCAGTTGCTATAGTTGCTGATATACAGGAGAAGGGGGATTTTTTTAAGCCTTTCCTGAACTATTATTATTGAAAGAAGCTTTTTCTATTCAGTCGTATATCTTGTAATTAAACGCTGGAGCATGTTGTGAAATATCCATATGACCTAACCTTTAAAAGTAGAGATGGCCTAGCCTTGTAACTATTAATTTCTGGTTTAAAGGTAAAACAACCAGCAATTACCATTTCTGAACTTCTTACATAATCCAGTTGAACTTCTTTAACTCATCATGAGTTTTGATGGTTTCTGAATCAGTGAACACTGGACAATGCACTCTAGGGAATTTTGAAGGAAGTTATGACATCTGGACTCTTCCCTTTAGGGTCTTCTGGTCTTATGAGAGAGTCAAGTCAAAAGCAAGAAAATACTCTTGCAAGCTCTCCCCACACACACAACTTTGTAATTCTCAGAAGTATAAATTCTGCTTTACCCTAGGGTGAGAGCTAGCAAATTCTGGCCTAGCAAGAGCCTATGATTATGGATAAACTTTTCTTGGGACACACCCATGCCCATCATTTACCAGTTGTCTTTGGTTCCTTTTGAGTTACAATAGGCAGAGTTGAGTGTTTACCACAGAGACCTCATGTCCCACAAGCCTACAATATTTAATATTTGGTCCTCTGGGGAAAAGCTTATCTACCCCTAGGATAGGGATGACACTCAACAGAGCTCTGGGCACAGAATATCTGCTGACTTGAGCAGTGAGGATAGATGCCCCAAACATGGGCCAGGTGCTGCCTGGCTCTATCCCAGGAAAGCTCACCTGGTCTGGGGAGCACCTGGACTAGAACCAGGTGAAAGGAGTTAGTTAAATTTGGTGGAGGCAAGGAATCTTGAGAGAAGCTCTTAAGAGGAAAGATCTCTTAAGATTGTTAGGACTGTAACTTATGGAGAAAACAGTGGGGCTGGAGACGAGGACTGGAATCTGGCCTTGGGGACCCGGATAGATACAATTAAGGGCAGGTCAGGTGGAGCCAGAAGCCAACTGTGGAGGGTAGTCGAGGAAGTACTTATTTGTGAAAAAGCCATTTAAAAATTATTGCACTTGCATGGGTTTGTGTGCCCTCTGTGGACACATACAGGTCTGCCTGTGGGGGAGAATTAAAAGCCTGGAAGACCTAGATCTAATAAATTAGCACTGGCTAAATCTGAGAAATGGGGTAGGGGATGGAGAAGTGAGGAGGAGCTGTCAGCGTTATTCCATATACATTACAGAGATGAGCATGTCCCAACCAGTGGTCCACTCGGGTGACCCTCAGTGCAATATGAGGAGTAAGAGCTCTGGCTTCTGATCCAGCCAGGCCTCGGGTACGGTCTGGCTGTCATTTCTTAGATGTGGCCTCAGGTAAGTCACTTTACCTGTGTAACCCTCAGTCTCCTCCTCTGTAGAACGGTGTTATTTTAGTACCAGCCTCACAAATATGAGGCTTAAGGGAACTAACAGGGGTACACTTAGCCAGTGTCTGGATGCTAGACTATGTGCAGGTGTGTCAGGAAGGTGCATGGGAGGTAACAGTTGGAGAGTGGCCATGACAGGTGGCACTGGGTATATAGGGAGTATAGCGGAGGAAGGCCGGACCAGCATGAACTCTGCAGAGGCAGGCACGTTCCTCTTGGTGTGGGACAGAAGGGAAGAAAGGGTAGGAGATGAGAGTGTGCAACACAGCCAGGTGAAGTGTCTGGGATTTGTCTCATAGGCAGTGGGAAGGGTGAATTATAGGTTTCTTAGCTCCAAAAACCTTGTAGCTGTGGCTCAGGATGAGCCAAGTGGCAGCGATGCCTGGGAGACATTGCTGAGGTCTGTACGGGAGGTGCTGAGATGGACCGAGGATGGCTGTGGGCTTAGCAAAGAAGGCAGGTGGGGAGGAAGGAGCGCAGGAGACTGCACTGGGGAGCCTCCCCAGGAGGTTGGTTGGAAAGGTGCTTAGACTTTAAACCCTGATGAAGAGGGATTGACGCTGGAAGAAACTAAAGGTTAATTTCCTTTTGAGCACCTGGGGTTGTCAGGCAGGTGATTCGAAGTGCACCTGGAGAGGAGTTAGTTGGGGGTGGTTTGACTGAGACGGAGAATGAAATTGGAGTAGCGTTTATAGGCAGGAGCGAGTAAAGGGACCGAAAAAGATGAGGTTGAAAATGTGCAAAAGGTCAGGGCGTGGAGGTCCCTGGAGGAGGCTGAGGAATGCTGCACCAGCTGGGCCTGGGGGTGATGAAGACCAACTCTTGCTTTTCAGCTGGAGGTGAGAGGAGGGAAGGTGAGGGAGAGAGAGGTATGAGGTGAGAAAGAGGCTTCCCTCAGCCCAGTGCAGCTACATGAGCGCATGCACACGTGCATGTGCCTTGCACGAAGTGGGGAGGGAGCGTAATGCTAGAATGAGAACCTTAATTATGCAGTAGGTTATATTTTATGAAGACTCTGTTTCCTGGATCTAGAACGTTTTGGGTTGAATCCTGGCTCCTCTACTCTTGGACAACCTGTTTAGCCTCTCTGCCTTGTTTCCTCATCTGTATGATAATATCAACTCCTTCATCAGCTCATTGTGAGGAGTCGTTGGGTTAATATATGAAGAGCAATTCAAACTGTGCCCAGCACACAGCAAGTGGCTTGTAAGTATTTTGAGCCCCACTGGCTTAGGGCTGCTGCTTTAGGCAGGATGAGTTTGGGAAGCAAACCTGAGTGTTGAGTCAAGCCCAGTTTTCCTCGGCCCAAAGAAACCTCAGATATTTTACTTTATTCAGGTCTTTGGAGTCTCTTTGCTGAGGTCCTAGACAGTTAGAAGTTAATGTTAATTCTGTACATTTGATTGTGTAGTGCTTTATAGTTTACCAAGTATTTCCACGTATATTCCTTTATTGGATCTTCATACCAAACCTATGAGATAAGAGATCGTTATGAGCTGCAGTTCATGGGCAGGAAAACTGCTCAGCAAGGTTCAGGCACCTGCTCCAGCTGTGATCGGCCTCAACAAGCACATTTATTGGGAACCTCGTGAATTCCGAGGATCGGAACCCAGAACTCCTGACTGCTATGCCTCCCTTCTCTATCCTCACCCACCTCTCTTCTACCAGATGGGTGGAAACCACTCTGTTTTGAAATAGATGATGTAGACTATAAAGGATGATCTTTGTGATTAGGAAACAAACAGCACTGGGTCATCTTTATTTTCTTTTATGGCACCAAGTGCTTAGGAAAGCTGGACACCCATCCTGTTTGTCATGCCAGAATTGTGGCTGTGGGTTGTTGACTGGATTTCTGCCACTCCTGTGGGTGACGTGCCAAAGGCTCAGGCCTGCTTGCCCTGTGAGGTCTATACAAGGAGAGCTTCCTTGTATTTAAATTATATGTCAATATCAGCAGTTATTGCTGACTCTTTGGTTAGCTTTTTTGCCTTTTCAAAGTAAATGGATAATGAACTTTTAGTTGGAAACCCAGTTTTGGAAAGAGCAATACTTTTCCTAGAATTACTAGGTTTATGGAAATAATTGTGATTCTTTTTACATAAAAATAGTGGTGGAATTTTGTAACTTATTGCCAGAGGTTTGGTATGTGGCATTGTTGAGTAGATGTCACTTCCTCATTTGTATAATTTCCACCCCCTTGTGACCTAAACATATGACTTTTAATGAATCAAGATAGGACAAAGTCATAATCTCTGTTTTAAAATATCTGAAGAATTCAGAGACAAATCATATTAACCCTTTAGATTCCTCCCACATATATGCCCCAGCTTGTTTTTTCTTTCATGTTTTTAGGGCTTTGGGACCTGTTGTGGGATTTTTTATCTCAACTCTGGGGCCTAACACAGACAGACTTAGCTCCTTGCATATGTGTGGTTCCTGTGCCACTGCCACTGGAGAGAATTCAGTCTGTTGCTTACATTCAGATTTTTTTAAATGGCTTTCCCACTGGGTATCTTAGGAGCCATGATTGCTTCTTGTTATCTTGTTTCCAGACAGATGATTGCAAGACTGTGCAAGCCTGTGGCCCTAGCCAGCTGGGCAGAGCTCAGTGGCTACGCTGACATGATGATTCATACTGTACCCTCCTTCGCTTCTGAATTTTCTGACAGCCTTGTGACTCTCACATGGGGTATAGGAGTGGTCCTTGAGAAATCTTGATATAAGAGGTTTAAATTTTTTCTTTTAAGATTCATGAGGTGATTTTCCTTAAAGTTAGCACATTCCTGGCTTTCTACTTATTTTGAGGACAAGGTGTTCATTCTTGCTGCTTCTTAGGGTTTATTGATATTTGTGGTTTTGTTCATGTTAGTCGTGATGTGCTGCTATTAATTAACCTAAATACATATGGAAATATTCTTTCATTTAGAGTTCATACAGTTCTTTATTTAGATGTGCAAAAATAGTGCCTTAGTAATCACAACTCACATACTATCTTGCTTTCTTTCCTCAACACTGATTCTTAGTGATTCTCACATAGCTTGCTCTTATGAACAAATAAGTTAGCAGGAAGTAGAAATCATGTAAGAAATAGAAATAAGAAGTAGAAATAAGTAGTTTTATTACCTGCTTCAATGACTTACTTGACAAGTCCATTTGGGGCATTTGATCTATTTTAATTAATATTTTTCAAAATGTTAAACTAACCAGTGCCTTTTGCTGTTACCTCATTTTGCAGGTAACATTGAAGGCTCTGTAATGGTACTAGATTGGTCACTGTTCACTGTTGAAATTTGTTTTACCCTTGAGGCCCTGATGAACTGAGTTTTGTGTTGACTTTCTATAGGTGTTTTCACAGTCCTGTGTTTGGTATGGAGAGTGTGGAATTGCATCTGGAGATAAGAGGTACAATTGCAAATATTCTGGACCACCAAAGCCTTTGCCAAAAGATGGTTATGACTTAGTGCAGGTAAGTTCAAAATCTTGGGCATTGGGAACATAAAAAGCTAATTAGAGATCCTATGTAATTATATTTTAAATATTATTGTGGGATGGGCGAAACACCAATAAGCTTAAATCTTACCTCAGACTTATCTGAGGTAGCACATGATGGCAGAGAAGATAATATGATTTCAGAGGTTTAATTTTCTGGGGCTAATTTTATGCCTTTCTCAGTTTCTCATTAGCAGGTTACTATTTAGGGACTGACCTTGGTACCTCAGATGTTGCTTTTTGCAGCTTCTTCAGACTGTAAGAGAAGTTAGCTAGAAAAGAACTGGGAAAACCAAGGTGAAAAGACCAGTTTTAGAGGTTTAGTAAGCTAAAATCAAGTTGACATCATGGCAGGTGTCCTTGCTCCTTTCATCAGAATTATTAAAGGCATGGACTTTCCCTGGAGTGACTAATGGAAATACACAGCAAATAGCATTCTGGTAAAACTTTAAAAGCCTAAGAAGAAGTAAAGTGACTGTCAAGGGAGGAGACTGAGCTTCCAAATTAAGAAAAAAATTTGAAACATCTCTACTACCTCTAATTTTGTCAATCTCTAGTTTATAAATAGTAAATCGATAGCCTTTTAAAAAACTTCAGCAAGAACTTTGCAAATACATGTCTTACCCTTGTGTGCCTCAAAAGGATTATGTGAATAAACTGTCTCATTTCATTGCAGAATATTTGTCCTTATTTGATTATGCTACTCTGATATCCATGCTTTCTCACCCAAAAGGAACTCTGTCCAGGATTCTTTTTTGGCAATATCAGTCTTTGTTGTGATGTTCAGCAGCTTCAGACACTGAAAGACAACCTGCAGCTGCCTCTCCAGTTTCTGTCCAGGTAGGTTGACTGCCAGGCAGACAGAAAAAAATGGATTTTAGATACACCGGGTCCTCGAATAATGTCATCTCGTTCAACGTCATTTTGTTGTAATGTTGACGAGACGCCATAGGAACTTAGCTCTTGCTGATATGAATTAGCCTTTGGTAAAATTGGTGTCATTTTGTGTCCTTTTACTTAAAGTCGCAAAACCTACCCATGACATTCAGTAAGGACTTACTGTACTTGTTAACCTGTACCATTCTGATTTCCTTTAAAAAATTTTTGTTTTCTATTAAGAAAGCAATCTTTTGACCTCTCAAAAATAATGACTAATTTCTGATAAAGCCGTAATCATAGATTTAGTTCTCTCCCCAGTTACATTCAGAGTTGATACTTGGTTTTCCTCTGAGATGTCTTCACTCCAAAGGGTATCTGCATTGTGGACGAGTCCTTTCAGACTTGAAGCTCTTTGTACCATGGGGAGGAGAGGATCCAGGTGGTTCTGCTCAGGTCTCTGACCCAAGACCCTCATTCATACAGTCTTCTACGTCACCTCCCCTGGTTTGCACATGATTCTCTCGCCTTGTGGTGACATGATGTGCTAGAGTTCCAGTCCTCGGCAGAGCTGACGTTTGGTAACTGTTAGTAAGATTATTCTGGCATCATTGGCTTGTTTTGTCAAAATCAGTTTGCTGTCTAATCTGTTCACTATGACCAGGACAGTGAAAAGGGTTGCATAATAGGTGTTCTTCTCTAAGCTTATGCAGCAGTTCTCAAATGTGCAAAAGCACAAGCTGGTGGTGGTCTTTAGTATAGCACATTGTGATATTTTTCTACGTTTTTCCCACTTAAGCACCTTGATAAAGGTGGACAGGAAGGACATGTGATGAGGGTTCGGAAATGCTTCTCTGTGCAGCTATTCCTGCACGAATCACTGCATGTGACAGAGCACAAGCTGGGTGTCCACCGAGGAAACCCTCCTTCCTAAAAGTTTAAATTGACAATACAGAGTAGAAAACCATCCCTAAATTGTTCTTTCAGGATGACATACAAAATAATAAGTCAAAAAGTTGAGGATCTAGTTGGGTCAGCATATTCTGTGGAAGGCTAGTGGATGTTGATGGAGCTAGATTGCAGCCATCATTCAGTCGAAATACATTTCTTTAGCACCTACTCTAAGAGTGACAGTATGGATATAAACATCAAAAGATAACCAAGCTTTTCCCATGTTGTCAGAGGTACCAAAGCTTAATAGCAGATAATGAGAAGCTAATATATATAATATTATGCAGCTGTCAAAACTGGTGTTTGCGGAGATTAAATGTAGCAACATACAGAGGTTTGTAATTCATGGAAAGTGATAGAAAACTGTGTACCTCCAAAGTGATTTTGTTTTAAATGGTTCCTGTTTTTGTCGCAGTAAAGCACAAGACACCTGAAAAAGTCAGTGTGTGTGTGTGTCTGCTCCTTCACTACACCAGAGGCTTTGAAGTCTGAGACCACACCTTCCTTGTTCTCTGTCCCATGTGGTCACCTGAACTGGATCAGAGTAGAGAGCAGTCTTGATTGGTTGT